ATGCTGACACATTAAAAAGGTAATGAGCATGAGGTATTATACTGAAAAGGAGAGCAGCTGGCATATAATAGCTCGCGGAGCGATGAAAAAACGGTGTCAGAATATTATACATATAGAGATATATATATCTATAACTTCGTCAAAAAAATAGATATTGAGATGATTTTTTTTTTAAATAGTTCTAAGGTTTTTAGCTTTCATAATATCAAAAAATCTCAAAATCGAAAAAAAAATAAAAACCAAACAACCCCCTTAATAAATATGTTGGTTAAAAAATAGAGAATAGAAATACAGAACATATGACAGTAAAAATAGTGTGAAATATAAAATAAGTAAAACAATTAATTAATATGTAATAAAATTAATCCCGGATTGCATCGTATTGAACTCATATTATTTATCAAACAACTTGCTACTTTTAAGTATAATTAGTACATGATAACTTCTGACTGAAGAGTTTTGCAATATGATGGCTTTAGTTTGCTGTGGGTCTTGGCTTGGTGCTACCGGAAGCACATCTATTTGCATACATCAGTGTCGAGGCGTTCCGACGGAAACGCAATGCCTGCGGACACACGACGCCCCAGCCTCGAAAATGACGCACAAAGCAAATATTATCTCATTCACTTACAGTTACAGAATTGCATTTCGAATTTTACATTTTGGGCAACCAAGTAGTAATATTGAATTACAAAAGTAATTAATCCAGGTTCGAATTACATAATTTTTAATAAAATATATCGAAATTTTGTTGACAATAAGATTAGAAATAACTGTTGAATACTTTTCTTTAAAAAAGTCTTGTATTTCACATATTTCTGTTTACTGGAAAATGTAATAATTATTAACTTCCCGTAGGGCAAGTTATAGTAATCGCAATAAATCGAAAATGAAAATTTTTATATATCTTTACGTTTCAAAACCTTCTGAACACTTTGGCATACCTTAGAAAAAATGGATGTATGTGTTTATGAGTGTGTGTGTGTGCGTGTATGTGTGTGTGTGTGTTCGGATACAAATTTTCGTCGACGATTTCGGGAACACGAATGAAGCTATTTAAATAATTTAAAAAACATTCGATTCGTATTGATAAGAAGACGTGCTGATTAGTTTTTGGCAAAAGCAGGTCTAGCCGTTCCGAAGATATGGGGCAAAAAGTGCTATCTAGTAAAAAAAGTAAAAAAAAATACCATTTGGAAGTCAAAAATGATCATTAGACATATGCACATCAAATTATCAGATATTTTATAGAGATTTTAACAATGAGTATAAATTTTGTTTACATTCCTATGAGTTCCGTACCAATATTTATCTGTTAGACGCTTACGCGCTTTATATTTCGTCTCTATGTAGTTAAAGCAGTACAATTGCTTTGAAAAAAAGTTCAGAATTTCAAAAATATTTCAAAATAAATTTTTCCTCAAAAATTCTTTTTTCAAAGAAAGTAAATTTTTGTCAAAAATTTATAGTTTCTAAAAATCTAATTTTTTTCAAAAATGTTAATCTTTTTTAAAAAAAAATAATTTTTGGTACGGGAAGTTCAAGCAATTTGTCTTAAGGCACGATGCCATGCGCCCCCTAGTTACTATTTGCATCTATTTACAGAAATATGGTTTTTAACTAGTAAGATGAAGTATCTACATACATATTGTTTTATAGAAAAAAATTGAGACATATTAGAAAAGATTTTCTCAAGACAAATTGATTGCATTCTATAATTTTTTTATTTAATCATAACTGTTTGTATTAAGTGTGGCCTGAACTACATTTGTCTACCATTGATATTGCTCAATGAACGAGAAAAACGATTTTCGTTCATAAGTCTAAAGCGCAGCGTGTGGTCCTGGCTTTTAAACATTTAATCCCTCATAAAAAAGCCGACGTGTACTTGAAAGATACATTGAGTTTACACTTCTATGACTTGTTATTTGAAATTCTTACTTTTCTTGCTCTTATCCAGATATTTCTAAAAACTACAATATTAATATAATGCCACCATATTGCAAAATTCTATTAAACAAAATGTTTCATTGAATAAATAATACTCCAACTAAAAATGGAAATTTAATACTTAATGTAATTGCCCTAATTTCAATGGAATTATAGGGAATTTTAAATATTTTTAATGATTAAAAATAATTGAATGTCATGTGAATAATGAAAATTAGTCATCCAATATATTTATATTCTATAGCGCTTATTAATATGTCAAAATTAAATATTTGTTAACATTGTATAAAATACTTATGAGTATTGTTACGCTAATTTATTTTATATAACTAAAAGTTATTATTATGCGTACTAATCAGTATCCCACATTTTTTCGTTCGTTAATTAATAATTATATTAATGAAATCACACAATTTTATCAGTTTACTTACTTTTACAGCATTATTTAATATTTTAAAATGTATTATTAAAAAAGTTGAACAGAAAAATAATGAATAATATATCTATGTATTATAAGAATCAGTCAAAAGATTTATGTATTTCCATATAACACTATAGTATTACACGCTTGAAATATATACATCATAAAACTCCACATTTTGTGGAACGAAGCGTTAAAACTGTTAATTGCGTGCAGAATTTGAAACTGTGTTACAAGCCGCTTTAAAAGAGATGTTTGAACTTTGTATACATATAATCATAGAAATAGGATGAGTCTTTGATTTTTGAATAGAAATACGTATTTTTTCTTAAACGCGGTGTGAACTAGAGTAAATACCGACTGCCCACCAATTTACGCACTCGACTTAACAAAGCCTAAGAATTCTTCCACTTGAAATTTCTTAAGCAAGCGAACATCGAATATTACCGTTGGACAGACGAACACTTCGGACTAAAAGATGTTACGATTTTTCTATGCATTTTCTCTGTGGTCAGTGCATCGGCGATTCTATTCGAAATAAATCCTCCGTGAATTTGCATATAAGCAAAATCCTGCAAAGGATACCGCCACTTATTCACAAGAACTGGTATAGATGTAATTGAAAGTAGGTGATACTTGCACACAAGTGCTTTACTCGATTTTTAACTTATTTTGAAAATAGTAGAAGCATAATAAAAAAAAAATATTGAAAACCAAAGACTGATTATATTGTTTATATGTTTCGTTGGGTAACTCTATGTAAATTTTTCTCAATACATTTTTTTTACCATTGATGAATGATAATTTGTTGCCGGAATGAACTACATCAATAAGATCTTCACACTTCACTACACTAAATAAAAAGATTCACATATTTAAATAATTCTTCAGTCGTCTTAAAGATATTTATCTACTTGTCACGGGCTTCCCACAGTTCTAGATAACATTTTCTATAAAATTTATAGAAACTTCACAAATCAAACTTTTTGTCTGGTAGAAAAAACAATTGTGTTGTCGATTGCCATCCCCAGCATCAAAATCAACAAACAATTTTCCATTCCTATAATGTTTTGATGCAAATTAAATTACAATATGTTTGAGTAGTTAAGTCGAAAAAGAGTTTAAACTTTCCAATAAACTGGGCGATTATTTATCCAGAATTAAATAGAACGTTAGGAGAAACCCTTTGCAACCCTTTGCTGCCGACACAAAAGTGCAAGTTTACAAAAGCGAAGACAAATTGGGTTTTGTGTTTGATGCTTTTGTCGGTTCTGGTTTCAACTGGGAATAAATATAAGATAAACGGGATCGATAACACGGTTATTTGATTTTTTTTAAATTCGTGTTTTTTGAATTGTTACTTTTGCTTAAAAGTAAAACAAAATTTGTATACCAGAGTCTTTAGTACCTTATTGATTTGTAATCCATACCAAGGTGAAAACGAATTACTTTAAGGTACTCTCAAATAAAAATATATTTCAAATATTTGTTTTCGTTTAAAAGTAAATTTAAAGCTAGAAGCAATATAAAGTTTTAATACATATCATATTTGTTATATCTTTACTAATATAAAAACTATGAATTTAAAAAACATAACTAAAAAGGGCATTTTCAAATTTCCGGCCGATAAAACTTTTTCCTGGGTAAATGTTAGAATAGAAAAGCAAATATAATCATATTATAACTCTATATTTAGGGCTCGCCCGTAGGTAAGCAGTTAAGAGCGACGGGACTTGTTTCAGAGGTCCCGATACCCACTTCGAGCAGCCTGTTGTCATGTCAGGCAGCAGTAAAAACGATTTTTACTTGGAAATATAGATAGCAATATGTTTTCAAGTGAAAATAGCCCTTTCCCGGCTTGCTGCCTGCACCAATAAAAAGTCAGCCCTATTATATTATTCTAATAACAAAAGTCATCAACTATGTTACCATCTAAAAATACTAGGTTACCATCTAAAAATACGAAGTAAGGAGAAGTTTCAGCCCACCAGTTCATAGGACGTAAAGTTCTGATTGCTGTTAAAAATATAATAAAATTAAAAAAACTCTATGTTTACAAAATATATTTCAATTTTCTTAACTTTCTACATTTTTAATGTCGCATAATATAAGATAGTTATACCCAAATATTGCCAATCTTTCACATCATCATTGAGTATTGAGAGTAGCACCTATTCTGTAACAGCAAATGCTAAACACAATCAAAATCTAATAATATCCATGCTATATTACACAAATATACTTATATTTACTAACAATATGGCTAATAAAATACTGTAAAGGAATATTATTTTATCTATACTGACAAAAAATTAATTGAGAACTTTGATTTACCCCGATCAGTTTGGTCATAAAATCTACCATGAGGAGCAAATGAGCAACGTACAGGTTCTCCTTATGAGGCAAATTGCTGGATCATTCCGAATTTTAAATAAATGTTCAATAAAAATGATATTTTGCAATAATTGCAATTGGACGTAATTTAAAAAGCATTTTAAAACATACTTATGTAAATTTTTTATTACACTTTTCTATTTTTGAACATAGTTAGCTTACAAAAGACTAAACATATTTCGATGATAATAAATTTTGCAGAATAATACTAACAATTTTGTTTATTTTTTTTCAGGTCTGGTTCAAAAATAGACGCGCCAAGTGGCGGAAGCAAAAGCGAGAAGAGCAAGAGCGGATGCGGAAATTGCAAGAAGAATCAGCAGCCGCAAATGTCCAAGCAATGCAGAACATCCGCTTAGCGTGGCCGCCGTTATGCGCGGATATAGCGATAACGAATCATCGTTTAGAAGTCGCATAAACAAACAAATATGAAATTGTACATAGTTAAATGTTTGTAATATATGAAATATATAGACTGTTTAGTGATATAGTCATTAGGTTAAATAATTTCGTAAAAAGTGTAACTACATATGTAGTAGAAGTTTAAAAATTAAAAATTTAAATTTAGCGAACAAATCTTTCCAATTTCTGAAAAATCTAAAGCATTTTATTAAACTTAAACTTTTATGTTTTTAACATAAAATACGACATATATTTATATAGTTATTATCTTTATTAATGTAAATATGTTGATTAATCTTAATACACATAATAGAATAATGTGTGGTACCTACATGTGATTATTTTATAAACTAATGTATATGAAGAAAGCTTTTAATAATATTGTTTATAATATCAATGTGATTATATCCTGTTTATGATAATTAATTTTGTAAATTAATGCCCGAACGAATCAAGTAAACCCTTTACTGTTATTATCTGTGTGTAAAATATATTTCTACATTGGTTGTTCGCAACGCATTCATAATTCGCCTCAATTGAATTTACTACATTCGGCAAACGATTTTAATAATATTATACCCATATTCCGATGTTATTGAAATATAATCTGTAACACATATAATCAAAATAGTACAGTATCAATAGCTATATTCCGTAATACGTAACTAAAACTAATAAATATTTGTATGATATTATTTATGTAAAATATTGTAAAATAACTTCAAAATGAAAAGTATAATAAAATATGAAAATCATAATAACTGTTTATGAAATATATTAAAAATTGTATTTCAGGATAAATTGGGTTGCTTAATAAATCTACACGACAGTCTAATATAAATAGTTAAGCTTTAATTATTTCTGATATAAGAGCAGTGCATTTTTTTAAACTATATGACACAAATGAAATGGCTGAACAAGAAAATAAGACATTTTTATTTTATAGATTTTTCTGTTTCATAAACGATCATAAATGATTGTATCTCAAACACAAGATTTAACAATAATTTTCTATCATATAAAATAATGAACAAAAAAAATTAATTGCAATAGGTTCAAATAACAAGTGGGGCGCATGGCATCGTGCCTTAAGGCAAATTGCTAGAACCAAAAAAATTTTTTTTTTTAAAGATTAACATTTTTTAAAAAAAATTACTCTGAAAAATTAGATTTTTGAGAAACAATAAATTTTTGACAAAAATTTACTTTTTTTGAAAAAAAAAAACCTTTTGAAGAAAAGTGTATTTTGAAATATTTTGAAAATTCTGAACTTTTTTTCGAAGCAATCGTACTGCTTTAACCGCCGCGCCGACGTCTAACGGATAAGTATTGGTACGGAACCCATAGAAATGCAAACAATATTTACACTTATTGTTGAAATCTCTATAAAATATCTGATAATTTGATGTACATATGTCTAATGATAATTTTTGACCGCCAGATGGCATTTTTTTACTTTTTTCACCAGATCTCCGAAACCGCCTTCATGAAAATTTGATCAGTTAAATCATTCAAGTAAAAAGTTTTTTGAATTATTCAAATCGGACGCTCCGTTCTCTTAAAAACTGAGTTACCGTTTGCCCCATATCTTCGGAACGGCTAGACCTGCCGTCCGAAAACTAATCAGCACGTCTCCTTGTCAATACGAATCGAATGTTTTTTTAATTATTCAAATCGCTTCATCCGTGTTCCCAAAATCGTCGACGAAAATTTGTATCCGAACACACATACACACACGCACACACACACATACACACACGCACACATACATCCATTTTCTTCTAAGGTATGCCAAAATGTTCAGAAATCTCTGAAAGGTAAAGATATATGAAAATTTTCATTTTCGTTTTTTTGCGATTACTATAACTTACCCTACGAGAAGTTAAAAAAATAGAACACATAAACATTTTATTCTATAAATAATAGAAATAAATATCATTCTTGACTTTTATATTAAATAAATATTATCCCAAGTACCTACGTAATATGGCGTATGTATTTGGATGCAAAGTATCTCATTAATTTAATAATAAGATAATAATTAATTAATACCCACTTAATAAATTTTTAAAATTTATCACATTACAGCGTAGATTGGATCCTATCCACATCATACCAGTCATTTTTGAGATTTTTTGAAATAAATTGATTTAAATTAAATTTCTTCTAAATATTAAATATATTAATTGAATTCAAATTTTCAGATGAAACAACTGATTGTACTTATCAGTAACTATCTGTCGAAATTAATAAACATATTTTACATAGTAACGTAATTCATGTAATGGTAAGATATCAATTAAATATCTTAGATTTATTTCAACACTTTTAGTCTAGTTATTTTCACAAATATTTTAAATTAATGTTGCTTTGAACACCAAAAGCATTTCACTGCTCTAAAGAAAACAAATATATAAATTAAGCTAAAATTACTTTATTAAATTTTCATAACAAAACAATACAAAAGAAAAGTACTGCAATAAACTTTAGAAACATAACAATAGCAAAATTCATAATTAAAATTTAAAAAAAACTTATACGTTTGAAAATTATTAAACTTTTGAAAATCAGATCACAAAACATCAAAAGAGTTGAGAATCGTCAAGAATTGTTTTTCCATCTTATCGGTAGTAGCTGTAAGCGTAGGGAAGGGCTGAGCCATAGGTGTAAGGAGAAACGTAGCCAGTGCTGTAGACGTAAGGAGAGCTACGGTATACGCTTGAGGTGTATGGCGTGTAGTAGACTTGGGCAGCAGCCACGGCCAAGACGGCGAAGACAACGAAGAGCATCTGACATAAACAAAACAGCACACCGATAAATATTGCAGGAAGGATAAGTAATTTTTTATATTTCTTCATTGTTATAACGATGAAACTTGATGCAACTTGCATTATTTGTTCCGACATCTTGATATTGTAATTAATTAAGTATATTTATGTCTGCAATGAGGGTTAGTACATTGTCGAAATGTGCGTGAAGAAAATGACTTGCCAAAAAAAATTGGTTAATGTACAATTTTATAATAATTCCAAATTTTAACATTTAATTTATTTTTTTATAATAAATATATATTAATAAGTTAAAAATAAAATGATTAGAACTACTGTATTTTTATATTAGTGAATAAGGGATCGTTCAAGTATTACGTAAGCAGATTTACTACAATTATTTACCTCCCCCTCCCCTTTGTCATCAAAAGTAAGCAAATTTCTTACCAAAAATAGGCAAAATAAGCAAATCAATAACCCCCCCGCCCCCTAAAGTGCTTGAACGGCCCCTAATATGATATTTATATAAAGAAAACGCAAAATTATTCTGCAAACAATAATTGATAACAGAGATATGATCGCTTTTATTTTAAAACAATAGTTCAGAATCTAAGAATAGTTTTTAACAGTTAATTGTTAGGTGAAATTATAAAACGAATACCTTTAATATTGGCGTAAATAAGGGTTAAGATAGCGTCATGTTAAACAATTCTAAATAACAATTCTAGAACATTATTTGTCTTAAGTAGCATGAGCTAGAAGAATATTAACTTTCGATAAAGAAATTGTTTCTTTGTTGATTTGAGGGGCACAACTAGTGTAACCTCCTAAAAAAAGGTGATTTTTGGGAATTAATATTAAAAAAACTACTACATCAATCATTACACCATTTTAGGAATATATTTATACATGTTTTAAAAATACATAGTTAAATTTTTGAAGAAAAAAATTAAATATTTTTTAAGTTATCGTCGATCTCCGACGGCGCGACAAAAAAAAGGCCCTTCACTGCTGCAGTGATTCCGGCCTTCTTCGTGGATGAAATTTTAAAAAAAAACTCGTTAAACTAGATAATATTGTCTGTAAAATGAACTACGATAAAGAAAAAAATCAAAAATTGACAAAATGACGGCGTTTTTTAAAAAAAAGTCGAATTTTACCCAAAATTTTGGTCGTTTTTGGACTGCCAAAATTCGATTTTTGATCCGATCAAAAAAACGATAGTTCATTTTACGGATAACTATATATAGAACATGTAAAAATAAATTGATAGTGATCGGATCATTTGTTTTTGAGTAATCGCTGCAGCAAATTCGGAAAATGCTGTTTCGAGAAAAACGCGTTTAAAGATAAAATGGTCGTTATACTATATACTATATATATATACTCTTTAAATGGCTGTAACTCAAAAAACTATGTAAGATATCGATTTAAAATTTTAGTATGTTATTTCTAAACCTATTGAAATATGGAAAAATTGAAAATTCGATTTTTTGAAAATTTCACACTAGTTGTGCCCCTTAATTAAAAGTAAATAATAAAATATGGAGAATACTAGTTCAGCAATGATACGAATAACATTATTTTCGTATAAAGATACTATTTTTATTTTTAGAGTTGATGATTTACTGCAACGATACAAAGTACTTAAAAAAATAGAGATTCAAATATCAGAAAAAACAGCTACTACTTTAAATAATTTTATTACAAACTATGAAATGAACAAGCAAAAAATGATTAAAAATTCTGATAATAACATTGAATTAAACACAATAATATGAAAAGTTATTTGAAATGTATATGTGTCAAAGAAAATATGTACTTTGATGATTGTTATATAGAAAATTAAGTTATATAATGATAGTTCATTTCTCAAACTCACCAATTTGTACATGATGATTGGTTTTGTTTAGTTTCAGTGCACAAAACTAAATTAGCAAATGTATCAACTGGATAGCCAACGAATCGACTGATGCTTCTGCCGTCCTTCGGACCGACTTTTATACGAAATTTTTGGTCAAGACGCCGTGACAAAAATTCAAATACAAAAAAAACCTGTCATTATAGATCAGTTATCATAACAATGCGGATGTATTAACAATAAGTTTAATAACACCCTCTGCCTAAACGATCTGTTCGTCCTTGGATTATGTTAATCGGAATAAATTATTTATAATGCTATTATTAAAGTGTTTAGAAAAATGTCAATAGCAAATAATTTAGTTTAATTGCTCTATATTTTTAATCT